GGGATGTTTTCTTCTCAGGGTCATTGCGGCGCCGCTTCCTCTTCCTGTTTTTTCTGGCGGAGCTGCCCGCTCTTCAAAATCCAAAACCTCTCCAGGAGCCACAGTTGGGCCTGAAGAAGCCTCAGCCTGAGCACTGGCCTCACTGGCCTCACCTGTTGCGGGCCTATCCGCTTCAGATGGCAGGGTTTCCTGTGTCTCTCTTTCCTGTGTCTTTCTTTGGAAATTTTCCTCTAGGGACGCCGCTCTGAATGTTACTACAGATTGCTGGAGAATGCTGGCGGCCTCTACGCATGCTCTAAGGTCTTGCAATTTAATCATACGGCACATAGACATGAGCCAATCCAACCCGCCTTGCGGGGAAGAATCTGCAAATAGGAACAGCAGCCACGCATCCGACTCAAAGACTTGTCTGAAATAGCAACATAGAGCTGCATCGATTGAAATCTGTGACCTGCTAATAGTGGGGGCGTCAGCTAGCGGCCCCAAGCCTTTCACCAAGCCGCCTCCTCCTGGCAAACTTTTAATGGTCCTGTCCAGGGTCTCTGCTAGTTTGCCTCGGTCTCGCAAATACATGCTTGCGCACAATGCGTTCAGTAAAGATTCATGACTTCGGTCTGGCCCTCGATGACCTTGTCCTTGACCTACTTCACCATGTGTCTTGCGGTACTCGCTCCGCTTAACTATTTGGTCCAACCGAAGCACTGCATCTTCCAATTGCAGCCGGCAGTTTTGTCTCTCCTCGCCCCCAACTTGTTGCAGGATGCGCCCTGACCATTGCCGCAAAAATGTTACCAAACGCTCGGACTGAGGGCCTTCAAAGTGAAGTTCAGGCACTTGCGGCAATGTTGGCGCCGCTTTACACTGCTGCCACGGCTTTTGCCTTTGCAACCCAATCATCGGGAGGGAAACCCAAGCTAGCTTGGAAAGCTTTTGCCCTTTCTAGCCAAGCTGATTTGTCAATGAAATCTACCCCCTCCAACATCAACTTGCGCCACCTTTTGCGCACAAGGAGTTCAAGGGGCAAGGCAGGAACCCGCAAACCCAATGGGCGCAGCAGGAATTCGTTGAATTCCTCTGGGCTCACATCTAGTGCTGCCGACATGCCATCCTGCGACGTTGAATTGGCCATGCAGTTTTGGACCTCGCTCCATTTGCATGAGTCAGGCAACCGCAGATCTGATCTGAATCTGATCGGGCATTGTGACCAATATGGTGACTCAAAGCGAACTAACTTCACCACTGACAAGGAGAAAGCTCTGCGCAAGCTGCCTTCAAACAAAAAATCAAGGAGGTATTGTTCCTCCTGATACCACAATGTCAACAAGTCCTCACCAAGCTGTCCCACTGTACTTTCACTATACACACACATGCGGCTTGTCCCGCTGGTGTCCTCTTTTCCACGGAGCTACCCGCTGCTTTGTTCTCAGAAAAACACAGGTGTTCTAACCCATGTTCCTTTGCAAGCTGCGCTATCCAAGAGACTCGCGGGGCTGTCCGCTTTCGGGTCTTGCTTTTGAAGCCAGCAGCACCAACATCATCCACTTCAGCGACTTGAGATTTCACCCGCCGCGCATGGCGAGCACAGAGAAATAGCAAAGGCGTGAAAATGTTTGGTCACCTGGGTGAGAGTGGCCAGATTATGCACAAGTATCTTCATAAAGGTTAGGTTAGCTTATGATTTTCTGTGCTGTTTGTTGCTTTCAAGACTTTGATTGTGCGTAACAATGAACTACTGAGAAAAACAGAAAAGTTCAGATAGTTAAAGGTCGCGCACGCATTTCCAGAGCCAATTTGGTAGGAATATGGCATGAATGGTCAAAAACCTGTTGGATCTAGTAAACACACTTGAAACCAACGGCAAACAAGGACCCGAAACAATCTCACAGCCTCAACCGGATCGAGAAGAGGAGCATCAACTTCCACTTCATTCTCGTTTCCCGATGGAACGCCTGCTTCATCGAGCACATGTAGGACTTGGACATCCAACCACCGATAGATTCGTCCGCATTCTTCGGTATGCAAAGGAGATCATAGAGGCAGCCAAACATCTCAAGTGCAGTGTCTGCGCACGCCATGCGCAGATCAAACCAGCTAGGAGGAGTGCACCACCAAAAGAACTATAGCGTTCAACAAATGCATCCGAGTCGACGTAGTCTTCTTACTTACCCACATTGGGTGACCGGTCCTGACCAGCCCTAACATCATTGACTGGTCTAGCAAGTTTCAACTCGTGATCCCATGGACAACAAGAAACCAGGACATGTTCGAGAAGCCTACCGACATTGGCTGAGACTGGTCGGTCCACCCAAGCGCATGGCTCTGGACCTCGGCCGCGAATTCCGAGGCGCCTTCGCAGAGCAAGCAGCAGAACAAGATGGAACCTTTGTGGACCCCGCCGCCATTGAAGCACCACATCAACGTGGTATCACCAAAAGGCACGGCAAGACCTTCAAATACCGCCTCCAAAAGATCATGGATACCTTCAATTGCAACAACATGAAAGCGTGGGAAGAAATGGTAGACATCACGACCATGACCAAGAACCGCACGCTGAATGTCGGAGGATTCAGCCCGAGTCAAAGGGTCCTCGGATTCAATCCATTCCTTCCTGGCGGTCTACTCACAGTGGTGATGACAGCAACCGCATTCGACCACCAGAATCCAAAATCGGAGACCTTAGCGTTGAAAGAGCAATGAAGCCCAGGAAGGCGGCCGCCCATTCATTCATTGAGGCTGATGCCAGCAATTCTCTTAGAAGGGCCTTCGCTGCTGGTCCACGACCCGTTCTCGACTACGACGTTGGAGAAACAGTATGCTTCTTTCGCATGGGCGCCGACAAGAAGCTCAAGTTCAAGCCCTGCTACTGGACGGTCCAGCTCGAATCATCATGATTGACCAGCCCAGCGCGATTTGGCTCTCCTATCAATCTCTAGCCCTGAAAGAATCCGACGGGTATCCCTTGAAGAGAATATGGCTCTATCTGGTTGGCTGGAAGACATCGTCAACCTGAAGAAAGACCTCAACGAACAACCCCTACCGGACATCGAGGACCAGATTGACGATGAGGAGTATACTCCATCGGAACCCGGAGAACGCTCAGAAGCGACTGCCAATGGAACCAGTTCTACCACCAGGAATCCAAGAGCCTATGGGATATCCACGGCCGTCGAAACGATATCGAGAAAAAGGTCCTCAAGATGAACTTCTCCAAGAACCTGAAGACCAACAAGAAATTCTACACCCACCAGTTACTACCAGAACCACACGGAGAACCAGATCCCGAGAGGGAGAAAAGGACTCGCGATGAAGCTGAGCTCGAAGATCCACCGAGCAAAAGATCAAGACTAGAGTACCTGGAAATCTACCTCAGGTCGAGAACCTGCTTAAGGGAAGAGACGGAAAGAGATCCGGATCAACGAGTTGAACTACAAGAATAGACAGTGCTTCCACAAGGCCATCAGCAAGGAGATTCAGAACAACATCAACATCGGTGCCTACATGGTCAACCCTGAAGAATCAGCCCGCATCCGACAAACCATGCCAAACCATGCATTGGTATTGACTCCAAAGCCACTAGAACCACATGAGGTAGGAAGGCATTCTCCTGGACTGGGAAACCGAGGAACCCTGCAAGGCCAAAGCCAGACGTGTTATGAAAGGCTTCAGTGAGGAAGGAGCCGAAAACATCGAGGCTACAACACCTCAAGTAACCAGAGAGCTAGGGCGCACTGACAGTGGCACAACTGATTGCCAGCTTCAACTGGCGACTTGGGTTTCTTGACTTTGCCCAGGCATTCCACTCAGGAGATGCCATTGAACGGTTAATCTACGCTACTCAACCTCAAGAAGGCATACCAGGCATTGCACCTGGCCAACTCCTGAAGCGAAAAAAGTCTGCTATGGACTAACCGATGGACCGCTGGCATGGTACAACCACCTCCGGAAGTTCCTCATGAACGAACTCAGCTACCAGCAGTCACTTGCGAAAAGGGAACAGTAAGCACCACAACGTGGAACACTCAACCATGGACAGGAAAGACCATCTTCAACAAACAACTTCCAGGACAAGACCTGGAACATTCCAACATCAGCGACAGTTTCTTCAAGATGCTCTGCAGCAGCCAAAGAGGCTATCTTCTCACGTTCTACGACAAGAACATGGAAAAGGAAGACCGACCATGCACACATGGTCTCCATCACCTCATGGAAATCCACCAGGCTCAAGAGCAAGACAGTCAACACGCTCAGCGCAGAGTGTCAAGGCATCGGCCAGATACATTGGCACCGCTACCTCCTACTAGAACTTCTTGGAGCACCAATGACATCGACTGATTGGGAGAGACATCTAGAATCTAGCCTCCATTCCCTACGTCTCCGTAGTGGACAGTCGATCCCTCTATGACTGCATCAACAAGCTGGTATGCACCTATGCCCAAGTGGAGGACAAGCGAACAGCGATAGATATCGCTATCCTCAACAATTACCTGTACCGGTCAGGAGGAACTTTGAGGTGGGCCGCTGCCAATAACATGGTTGCTGATTCCCTTACTAAGCGCATGTGTTCGGACTTTTTACAACTGGTTTTCAACACTGGACAGTGGTCGCTCTCCGAACTCGGTCATGACAGTCAGTGCAAAAAGCGCGACATCTTGATCGTGGCTTTGCCGATAGAGAGTGGTGCCGGTGTGAAATTGGAATCCACCATCGGCATCGCTCGACTCGAGACCAAGCTAGGAACCCCGAGACTCCAAACGGGGGTTACGTGTCCGCGTAAATGCTGCGGTTTTTGGGTTTTACAGTATCATATATGTATACAGTATACATATACTTTATACATATACTTGTTGCTTACACCAAATTGCACCGTCGTCAGACAAGGTGTCGTAAGTGATCACGGCGCTCGCGGACTCAAGCGCTTAATGGTCTCAGTCATTTGCGTCGGAGTGCGTCGCACCCATACATTGCCACAAGTTCACGCGTATTGCTCGTGTGTTGCGCAGGATTCACAACGACGACAAACCTTCTGAACCTGCTTGCTTTCAGCGTGCGAGGGCTTGCTCCCAGTTCTTTGTTATTTCTATCTATGATGGCCCTCAACTCAGCCAAAGAAGAAACATGTTGAAAGGGATGTAAGCTCACCGTGCTACGTTTGCATGTTGCAAGCTCACCGCTTTGGTGCCTCCAAGGTGCCGATGCTGCCAGGCGTCAACGGTGCCAGTGCGACAGCCTTGAAAGCTGTATCGCAGGACATTGCCACCAATCAGGCGCCATTGCGCGAGAGAGAATGAACTGGTGAGGCAGTGGGATGGCAAACGTCCCAGCCAAATCAGATGATAGACTTGGGGATGACTTGGGTTTAAAAGATACTAAATGATCCGAGGGGCTTGCAAAAATGACTCTCACTTTTTTTTGACTCTCAGTTTTCTTGTTTCTGACGCTAATGATATTGATACTAAAGAAGAGGGGGAGGAAAAAGATGAAGATGCTCTCAGTTGTCCTATTCACCTTTGATTTGGATGCTAAAGCAGAAGGGGAGGAAGAAGAAGAAGATTTCTTAACTTATGATTCATAATATCTTTAAACAGTTGAGTCTGAACTTGAGGGCACATTAAAAATCAAGTGAGTCTTGTGGACCGTCAAGTCTGAATGGCATCGTGTATGTATAAGCGAGTCTCTCTTGGAGAATATGCTTTGGACAGATAATCTAAATTTGAAGGTAATAAGTGATTCATGTAACTGACTATTTTGAACGGTTGAGACTGAATGCTGCATTGAGAATTAAAAGATGGTCTAGGGCGGGGGGAGGGGGGGTAAGGTGCCCAACACCCCAAAACACAACATCCAAGAACAACTGAAGTGTCCTTATAATATGCCAGGATGTCTAGAATCACTCTAGGGTTGGTAACATGTATTATTACTAAATGTCACATATCAAATCTCTGCAAAGAAAAAACGTCCGATACTTGACTTTGTCAAGTATTTGGATGTGACCTGCAGGTTGTCCTCCAAAAACTTGCAGTATAATCGGAGGTTTTACATAAAAGGTGTTGGGGGGTTGAACCTGCTGAACCTGCGGGGCGGAGCCTGGGAAGATCCTGGATCTGCTGGTGGGAAGGTGGGAGGATGGGAGGGTGGTCCAAATTCGTGCCATCAACTTCAAGCTCAATGCTTGGGCCGTACGTCTGGCATTTTTGGATGTTGCAGAGCACTTCAATGACCTATCACTTACCGTAGCTTTTCTTATTGCCGTTGCCAGCCAGGTTGGGTTCTACCCTCAGAGTGACAGTTGCATCTTCACATCAACTCATGACTCAATCCTTTATTCTAGTCAGACTGACACTCAGATTCGGTTTCTCTTCCTGTTCAGATTCACAGTCACTCCTTGTCACATTTCAAATTCCAGATTCAGCGTAGGATTCTTGATGGAGCTCATTTCCAAGGAATGGATGCTTGTCTTTTCGCACTTCAATATCTTCGAAGTGCACCCGGCGCGTTTGGAAGTTCTGAAGTTTATGATATGAGCGAATGCACCTGGATTTGTGATTGGTTTACTATATCTGCAGCGGTCTTAGCTCTTTCAATCAGCCATAAGACCTTCACCGTCCATCACCACTTCTGAGCAATGGTGCGCCATTCCACCACTTCTGAGCGGTATGAGCACAAGTGGAAGACACATGTTGCAGGCGGCTACAAGTGCCTCAGTTCAAATTTTGAGCAGCACGTGTTTCCAGGCCCGATGGCCACGCCAAAACCGCTCAGGCTCCAACATTTGAGATGGGAGGGGGACGAAGTGACGGAAATCTGGACGAGGGACTTTGAGAACAAGGGCCAGCAGATCCAGGGCCTGAAGATCCAGCCGAAGGTTGAAATAAAAAAGATGCCGGTGGAACCGGAGGGGAAGAAGGCCATGAAGGCGATGAAGGCCATGAAGGAGACGAACGCAATGAAGGCGAAGAAGACAATGAAGGCCAAGACGGCCAAGAAGTAGATACGGCCAAGAAGGTCCGAAAAAGGTGTCAGACAACCATCTGCCGAGCCAACTTGAATGAAATTGAGTATCCATCTAGACCCAATCAATGTCGAACTCAAAGCTTTCATCCGCCAAGCTTATCGTGTTTTGCAAGCATGACAGGTGCTGGTGCAGACAGAAGGCAAGGCAGACAAGTGTCAAAAATGGGTTCTGGATCCATTGGGAATCCGAGTTTGACAAATGATACACACATGTCCCACGTGGTTTGAATCTGAAACAATGCGCAAATGTCATGTGACAGTGTGTCCATTGCTTTTGGCAAGGCTTTCAACCAACAAATCGTTGACGTTGGCAGGTCAAATCGTAGTCGAGCACGCGCACTTCGAGGTTGCGCAGGTGGCTCCGGCATGCTTTGAACCAGTCGCAGTTGACAAACCAGTGCAGCGGTTGATTTGGCAAAATTTGGCAACATGTTGACTGAACATTCAGACTCAGAACGATTTCAGACCCGGCCCAAAGTCTGCACAAAGCCAGACTGCACACAACAAGCATAAGCCAGGCCTCCGGCGAAATCGTAAGCCAAATGGCCAGCGCTGACAAGGATGGTGCTTTAACTGCGGCCGACCCTCTGGCCCGTCAGCCAGACCTGCTTGATCAAGGTGCTAGATCATGGAAGAAGCTTGAGGCCAAGGACGTGCTTGGATGTATTCAGTGGAAGCCTGGGACGTACACCGTGGTCGTTTCGGAAGATGGCACTCCTGTGACTGAGAAGGAGGTTGGGGGTGGCCTCCAATGTGGGGGTTTTCAGTAGACTTGAGAAAGGCTTAGGCTCGGACCAGGACCAGGAACCTTGTCTTCGTCCCAGCCTTTGCCTTTATCAAGTCGATTGACAAGTGCCACATGACACAGACTAAATGGTCGGCGATATTTTTGTGATTGTAAATTGTAAATTACCGGCGTCATCTTTTGATTGAGTGTCAGAAAGTTGTTGCCGGCCACCAGGCGTATCATCCGATGGCTTGGACATACAATTTGTCCATCCAGGGTCCTGGCCGAGATGTGAAGATTAGCGGTACCTTGAAACCTTTGAAGAGGTCCGCAGATGAAGCTGGGCTTCCCCCTGCTAGGCCTTTCACAGTGGTTCGAAGCTGTGACACAATGATGGCACAGATCCGAGAAGACGCACGACGTTTGGACGAGACGAACCAGGAGGTACAGGCCACTCAGGAGTTCGATACGGTCTTGGATGACTAAAGCCCTACTCAATGACTTGCTGCCGCTTGATGTTCCTGAGATGAAAGGATGCCGGCTTGATCAAGAATCCTAGCATGGCTAGATTTTGTGATGGTCTTGTGGGCCTGGATTTATTCATAAATTGCAGTGGATGGAAAAATGCGCATGCAGCTTGGTTGATGGCAGCGGGCATGTCAACTTCAAACTCATGTTCATGTGACAGCCAAACTCACATTCAAGCTCATGTGATTTATGCGACAGCGCAATTCAAGTTCAAACTCAGTGGCAAACTGTTCCATTTTTAGTTGCGACGAGTTGAATTGCAAAATGAGGTTCACGTTTCCACCTTGCAGCGAATCATGCAGAAATTGGGTTCAGCATCATTTGGAATCAGGTAACGAAGTTCCTGCTGACTTTGAAGGCGAGCAAACGTTCATGTCTTGGAAGGCTTCATCCAAGAACACGCCGAATTTCATTTTCAACGTTCCAACATGCTTTACTGCAAAATCTTGTCACTTGAAAACCTTGGGGAGTGAATTTCTGGCACGAAGATTCGTGGGACGGTAAAGATTGAAAGAAATCAGAATCGATGGAATTAAGGAAATCAGAATCAATGTCGTCATTAGCTTTGAGTTTAGTTTGAACCTTTCACAGCTGGTAGCGAATTCGCTGGGGAAGGATATTGCGTCCACAAGACTGCTGCGTGCGAGCTTTTGGCTTTCAGGCTGGCCGGCGACTGACTGGGCATTGAACAGTCCAGAAGTTTTGAACTCAACCTTGACCAACAACCTTGCCGCATTCAGAATCAGATAAAGTCCGTGTCAGGCGCTACTTCAAAAAGACTCCCCAGGAAAACGTGACCACAGACAGTAGTAGACTGTTGAAGGGCTAAGTAGACAGTTGCAGACAGAAGTAAACAGTGATCAGGAATCAGGAGGGGACCTTTTGTATTCTGCCACGCTGCCTTGGAGGAGACCTGGTTGGAAGATGATGATGATCCTGTCCCATTTCCCATGTGTCAGAGCCAAGGCTGGGTTTTGAACTTGAAGGGCTTCATTGTGGGTGTGGGCAAAGTTTTTCATTACGTGTGAAACGGCAAAGACTGTCATTGGAGTGCACTTCATTGCAACCATTCAGAGTCATTGTCAACTGGCATTGGAGTCACTGTCACGGTGCATTTGTTTTCAATGCTGCTAAGTTTGAGAATTCACGCCTTGATGCTGCCAGATCATTGTCACCGACCTTTGTCATTGACACAAGTCATCAACTCAGCATTTGAGCTGCTTCTCGACTGCTGCTGTGGAACCTTTTGATTCTTTCATTGTTTGAATACCATTTTCGGTTGTTTCAGGCTGCAATTGGGGCGCGGCGGCTGCGCTTCACAGGTTGGAATGTTGGTGTCGCAGGTTACAGTTTCGCAGGTGTCAAAGCCCGCATAAGCCAAGATTATATAGTCATGAGGTTCGTGCGCAATGCGCTGTGATGTCCGTTCACCCCAAAGCTAGTGAAAAAACGAGTGTGACAAAGTCAGGGCAACATGTCCATGGAGCTCCGCCTCGCTGTGTGGCCTTTCTGCTGCAGGGTTTGGAGCCACGCAGTGGGCTGACGCGACTGCGCCAGGACCGAATGCATGGGCGGATTGGATGCTGCAGCCGAAACAGTCTTTCAGCTATCGTGTGACATGGTTTCAAACTCTTATGTGACATGATTTCAAACTCTTTGTTTCAACCTGTGACAGCAACACATGTGAGAAGAAACTGCTGAAACCCCTATGTGCCATGATCCGAAGAAAGCGTGACGACATGGCACCACGATCTTGGTGGTCTGATCCAATGGCGTCTTCGTCCGGTCACTGGCCACTGGCGTCTTCCTTGTTGCCACCTTCGGCATCCACCTCTGAGGCGTCCAGTCGATTGCCACCTTGGGCATCCGCTTATCTGGAGTCTGAGGCGTTGAGGCAATGGCCACCATGCAAGCGTAAGCGCCCACAACCTGGACAAAGCGTCACCAGTCCAATGGCCTCTGAAATGGCCTCTCAGCCGTCGAGGCAATGGCCACATT